TATGAATTGAGATTCAATTTATTTGGATGTTCGACGCTTTAGATATGCTTACTCAGCTTCATCGCTGAGCGTGTAGTATGTTTTATTTGCTACACGCAGGTAGACAGAATGAGTGAATGGCATGTTCTTGGCAGCGGAAGGGGCGAGACAGTCGTGGTGGATTTATTGAGAAAATAAATGATTATGTTATTATGAATCATGTTTAAAAATCGCTTCCGCATTAAACACTCCGTATTTACTACAATTATGTTTGGAATTTCATTTATGATGGATAAAGTTATTTGAAATGTTTTAAATTATACGATTACCAAGTTAATACTTTAGTTCGGAAGGGGTTGTAAACCTGGACGGATTAGGGTGTTACAATTTGGTATCGGAGCAAATGGTTTTAAACACGATCTTCGGATCAATGTTTGATTTAAAAATATATATTATATATTTTGGGTAAAAAAAAAATATTGTCAATCACATCCACGACTCTCGCATCCCTCTGCTCCAGGAAGGTAATAAAAAAAAGAGTATTGAAATTGACTGTATCAAATTTTATAGATGTCAACTGTTAATTCGGAAATGATATCAAGTGTTGATTCAAGTTGCACTTTCGTACTTGGTAAAAGACGAAAGAACAAACGAAATGTCTATGACTCATTGATACGTTATCAACGTGCACATCGATTAGCAAGAATAATGAAACGAAGGATTTATCTGCGCCGCAAGGCTGCATGAGAACGAGATGACCCAGAATAGACGTTCAGCGTAGACTCTGCCAGTAGTGTATGTGGGTCAGGCAAGGAAGAACCGTCTGTAGATTCGGCACGATCCAACCAATCGAACGCAAACTCTTAGAAAATTATCTTATTGTTGGTTTCAAATCCATTGATTGTATCAACTATTGTAACCCTTTGCAATTCATGTCTTAAACTCAACTACTGAATAAAAGAATCCTAATAAAGGAATTTCTGTTATTGTAGAATGAGTCAAGAATCTACCCACGGACAAGGCAACAATAATGAACACGTCAGTGTTCATACTGAAGCATCTAGCTTTACCCCTCCCGTCCAA